CCTGGGTCCCGTGACCCAGCCTGCATTTAGCATTCTTCAGCATATACGCAGCCGTAATTCCAAAAATGGTACCTTTTTTCTTCCAGTCACCCTGACTCAGCACCTCAGAACCTTTGAATTCTACTTCTCCTCGTCCTCTCCAAAGTCTTTTGCTCTTGTTCCATTTTCATGCTAGTTCAGACATCCCTTTCATTTGAGTTATGGCAATAATAGAATCAGGATGGTGCCTATTGTGGACTGAATGTTTTTTGTTCGCTTGTTTTTGAGAGACAGTCCCACTCTATTGCCCAAGCTAGAGTACAGGGGTGTCATTACAGCTCACTACAATCTCTGGTCCTCAAGCAAGCCGCCCACTTCAGCCTCTTGAGTAGCTGGGACTATAGGCATATGCCACCCCACCTGCCTCGTTTTTCTATCTTTTGTAGAAATGGGTTCTTACTATATTGCCCAGGCTGGTCTCGAACTCCTGGCCTCAGGGCATCCTACTCACTCTGCCTCCAAAAGTGGTTGGATTACCGGCATGAGCCACTATGCGTGGCCTTCCTTCAATTCCATGTTGAAGCCCTAACCCCTCCTGGGATGGAAGTAGGAGGTAGGACCTTTGGGAGATAATTAAGGTTAGATAAAGTCGTGAGAGCAGAGCTCCCACGGCAGGATTAGAGGCCTTAAAGAAGAGGGGGAAAGACCAGAGCTCTGTCCCTCTGCCATGTGGGACAAAGGAAGAGAAGATGGCAGTCTGCAGGGCAGGAGAAGGGCCTTCACCACGGACCAGACCTGCCAGCAGATTAGACTCCCCAGCCTCCAGGGCTACGAGAAGCAAATGTCTGTTGTGTAAACCGTTCAGTCTATGTCACTGTGTTATAGGTGCCCCTGAAGATGAAGTGTAGGTGGAGGTCCTCTCATCACAGATTCAGCTGCCTAAATCCCAGCTCTGATCACACCCTCTCCAACTATAAAAACATCAATGTCTTCCATTGTCTACTACCAAAACTTAACTCTGGCTCTTCAAAGGCCTCTATAGTACTGCCCCAACTTGTCTTTCCAGCCCTGTCTTCCATACAGACTGTAACCTCCCTCTGTGACTCACTGGTCTAGAACATCCCTTTACTCTTTCCTACCTCTTGGTCTTCAGTTTTCCTGATTCCTTCTCCTGGAATATTTTCTACCCGAGTATCTATTTTAACTTCTGAGATCCACATTATTCAAGACCATAGTCTTCTCTGATCACTCTAAACCATTTTTACTTCTGAGATCCACATCATTCAAGACCATAGTCTTCTCTGATCACTCTAAACCATTCCCCTCTACAGGCCTACAATGTGCTTGTGTGCGTGTGGTATGTACACACATGTATTTGTAGACACATAGACAGATGAGACTAGCAGACAGCAATATAACGCCCCTCAAAACCTTGGATTCTAGGTGTAAAAAGGTGGATCCCTAAGAATTAAAGTGGATATAACATCAACATGTAGGAACCTAGCTCCAAGGTTAGTGGAATTGATGGCAAGCAGATGAAAACAGTATTGACATATCTGAATCTATTAGCTCCAGGAAAAAAATACTTAGCCACTGGGTTTGAGTATTGTCTGCTATTATTGGCAAAATGGTTTCCTACTATGAGATGAAAGATGTAACCAGCTATATGATGTTCTTAAATACCTGATTGCCTTAATTCCCCATGTTCTGTGTCTTCTTACACTGGAGAAGCCAAATAAAATACAGAGATGAATCTCTGAAATCAAAACATTTCATTTGAGAAGAAATGATTGCAATTCAGGGCATATACACAGACCAGCCGGTCTTAGATATGTCTAAAGAAAGAAGAGAAGGTTAGAGGTTTTAGAAAAAGGAGAAATATTAGATATTTCTCTTCATGGAAGTTTACTTGCACTGGTAACGTTCTGGGGAGCTGGCAAGTGATGAGTGACAGCAGTGGGTAAAATTAGTCTTACAGTCATAGAAGGTCATTCTAGTAGCCATTAGATAAAACTGGGCCGAGGATACAGCAGGCAGTTTCAGCAGCCACGCTCACAGAGAATTACATTTTTAGAACAATATTATGTGCTCTGAATGCTTCTTCCCACTGGCCTCTCAACTCTGGTGTTTTTGTTTTTGTTTTTATTTTTTTGCAGTTTTTATTTGGGCTGGGGCTGGGTTTGAACCTGCCATGTCCGGCATATGGGGCCAGTGCCCTACTCCTTTGAGCCACAGGCACTGCCCTCAACTCTGTTTTAGTTACAGTATATCAAAGCTGATCCAATTCATAAGATCAGCTTTCCTAGCACCCACCAGATAATACAGAAACCCAGAAACTCTGGCCCAGAGTGCATAAGTCAATAGGAAAAGAGAGCTAATCCTAAGGTTTCTGTATTACCAATTCTGCCCATGTAATCCCAATTTTAGTTTAAAAATACAGTATAAAAAAGTATATAGATAGGTAAGTAGAGAGGTAAGATAAAAGAGAAAGAAAAAAATTTCACAAAACGAGGCACTATGTGTCGACCCTGGCCTGCAGCTGTATTTTACTGAGTCACAGGTTTTTTTTTAAAGAGGGTGGGATCTTGCAGTTGTGATCATAAGAAAAATTCATGCTCTTGGGCTTGGTTCATGGTCCCCAGGCAAACTTCCCCCTAAAGCCTGACCAAAACTATTGTTTAATACACAAATAAGAAGAGAGGAATGGGCAGGCAGCCCATAGGTAGCTACATATCTGATTCTGTAATTTTTTTTCATTAGAATTTTCCCAAGGATGAATTGAGCTATGAGCTGAAATAGAGTTTAAACTTTTAACTGTATGCATTTGTATAATTATCTGAATGAAGGCATAAGGGTTAAATAAAGCATTTTGTATGGAACGAAAAAAAAAAAAAGAATTTTCCCAAGGAATTTATTCAAAGTAAAAAGTAGCAACACTAAATACATGTTCAAAGAACATTATCTATGCTAGTGAGAAATTGTAAACTCAGGCATGTCTAGCATCAGGGAG